TGCCGTTCATTCATTCACAGACAGACACGCAATTTATATTTAAACAGTCTTTGTGCAGTTTACAGACACTATTCAATAATGCGATTAGAACAAAGCACTTAAGAATAAATAACTTACTACATCAGCTGAGTCCGTGCTCCTCGAAATGAAACTACCAGCACTTCTGAGGTAACTTTTCCAGGATTATTACGATAGTATTATTCCTCACAGCGCAGCAAGACGAGGTAAAGTACAAGATTCGTATTAAACTGGATGTTTTATCCAGCTGATGTGGGCGTTGGCATGGCTTGCCTCAACATTTGCGTTTGAATAGCGCGCGCTCTCCGTGGGCGTGGTCACATTAATACGTAATAAACTATAATGAGCTGAAAGGAAAAAGACTGACATCTCTCTCTTTTCATACAGATTACATAAACTGAGAATATTTGTTTTTTATATAAATTACTTCATTTAAAAGAAGAGAATCTCAGCTTCATAACGAAACCTCTCTCGTGTCTGTGTGACAAGTATTGACTGAGTTACAGTTCATTTTCGGACGTGTTTCAGAATGAACTTCACTGACCGAGAGAAGGCAAAATTCGCATCATGTTTATTTTTCTTTATTTGACAAAAAGCAGAACACTTTGTTTTTATTGTGAGTATCCACAAAAAAATAGACACTTAACAGGATCTAATGATGTACAACACTTATATGTAAGATCAAAATCAACAGAGTAATTTGAGTCTCTTTTGCACTGATAAGGAAAAAAGTGAGCTCGTCGCGCCGGCGCGATAGCCGACCCCAGACGGTTAAATTACATTTTAAGTTCCTTGAGTATCCGACAGGATATTTGAGGCACCTTTAGTTTTTACAGTGTGGTTATGATGTCACAATCATGGGCTTTTTAACATTTGACCACCAGATTTAATTATTTATGCATATTCAATATTCAACACTTTGGCCGATCTGATTATTAAAGTTATGGACACATTTTGCTGCAATTTGGGCAAAAAAAGGTCAATTAGTAAATAGTGTAGCAATGTATGAAGCACCACTCATACAGAAGTCCCTTTAAAATCAAGCAGCTTTCTGTTGGTCAACAGTGAATTTGCATGACCAACTTGAACAAAATCTGCTTCTGGAACATTTCCGCCCTTGCGCGGATCTTCCATTCACATGGATTTCTTTTGAAACGACTATATTTTGTCCGTGAAATTTCACCAAGCAATGGTAAATGTGACTCCACCTTAACAATGTTAACTACATCTGTAGTCTAGCAAATTGTAACATTTTTAAGTCTTAAAGGCACTGTACCAAAATGCATTCCGCTTCAGAGAGAGTGAAAAATGTTCATGTAACACTAAATAACCGATGTTTTGGTGCAAGAATCCTTGACTCTGAGTGGACATCAGAGAAGACTTTTAACAGAGCTTAGAGTGGATTTGAAACAGTGAACTGAATCAGTTGCTTATAATAAACTCATTTATCATGTTTATTGGTAAGTGCCTTTTTCAAAGTTTCAGAATTTGGAGCCATTTACAGTAAATGGTCTTTGAAAGCCTTTAGAGATAGTCATCTGTTTTACTGTAACTTAAGCACCTTCTGGTCAAGTTTCCCAGTTCCTAACAAACAACACTAACTAAAGACACATAATGATTTTGTTTGTTACAGCTCACATTTTCTTTAAAAGATGCTGGCAATGTTGTTTTTAAACAGATATTTAATGGATTTTCAAGGTGAAGTCATTACGACCTGATCCTTCAGTATGCAAGCCAGGCTTCACCTGACTGAGATTCCCATTAGAAATTCCAGAGAGCATTTCAAGAGCAACACTGAGACGAGAGAAGACAGATTTGTCTGTAATCCCCTTTTCTAGCTGGCTGTGTCCAAGTCCCCTTCTAGCTAGACAAGATTCTCACTGTGTTCTGTCCTGTTAGGCACAATTGAAAGTGCACTTGTCTGTGCAGGAGTGATTGGGTGGGTCTTTTTTTTTTTTTGTGGGATTTGAGCCAGTTTATGTATTTTCATTTTTAGTTGACTGAATTCATTGACTGGGCTGGATTGGCTGGAAAAGTCTGGTTTCAGCTAGTAGCTGTGCTTTGTAGCTGGTCATTAGCTTGTACACCAGCTTGGACCAATAACAAACCAGTTACCAACTGGTCATGATGCTCAAGCTGGTTTTTGGAGCACAATGGCCGGTCAACCAGCCAATAACCAATTTGGTCCAGCTAGAAACCAGTAACCATTTTCCAAAAAAACACATTAAACTGGATTTTCCAGCAGGGGAGCTCAAAGCTGGTAAAGAGAGCCACGCGATTACGCGCTCGGTCATGTGTAATTATTCTGTTTTGCATATTTATGTTGACATTAGCTCAATGCACACCATATGTCATGTTCATAACATGTGTAAACGTTTGTGTGTTTTCCCTCTTCTGTCTGTTAATGTGTTTATTGCTCTGGTGAACTGTGGGGGAAAAAACAGAAGTTGTGCGGTAAGCATTAATAGGACATCAGACGGCTCATTGAAGCACATACTACAGCAGATCGATGGACTCATTTTGTGACGAAGCTTTTGGCAGCGAATCCCATACAGCAGCTTGTTCGTACAGCCCTCTTCCAGCTACCACAGTTATTACCGCTCCGTTGCAACACAATTGTTTCTTTTTCTCTCTCTCTCTCTCTCTCTCTCTCTCTCTCTCTCTCTCTCTCTCTCTCTCTCTCTCTCTCTCTCTCTCTCTCTCTCTCTCTCTCTCTCTCTCTCTCTCTCTCTCTCTCTCTCTCTCTCTCTCTCTCTCTCTCTCTCTCCACTTAGCTGTCATACAAATCTATTGTGCATACTAAATTCAAATCTAATGGCATCATTCATGCTGTGAACCCTCAATCCTGACATTTCCTTCCCATTCTAAATTCTTTATTCATGTGACTTTGAGAGTATCCCTCTCCTTATGAATGCCACATTTGTCCACAGTCATCTTATTGTACTGTACTTGACTATAACAAAGCTGTAAAAGGAGGTAGAACGTCTTCATAATTAGATTCTAATAAGTTGCCAACCCCTGAGGTCTTGGGTTCTGGGAACATAGTTACTTTGTGCGACTTTAGTACAAAGCACTTTTGTACTCTTGTCTGTCAATCATCTCTTTCAGGGCACATGGAGGAGAAATTGTGAAGTATACTGTAACTAGTGTACTCTTGCTGTCTCCCTCTCTGAGCTCTCGAGCAAGCTGAAACATCACTGCAAACTGTGGGATGATTTGTACAATTACTTGCTGAAAAATTCAAGATTTATTTTTAAAGCGGAAATATTTTTTTGATAATTATTATTATTATTATTTTTTTGCTGTACCATCTCCCTTACATTTTTTGGCTTTGATTACATAGTACAGTGGGTCCTTGATCAATGAACGAATCCATTTTATTTCGCTTTGCAAATTCGCTTCCACAAATTCAGTGGTTCAAATTCAACAGTAAATTTAACGTTGACATCCAGGAACTGCAGGAAAAGCAGTAGATTACCGAGCATAATCTCCATCTGCTGTTAGTCGACCTCACCAGCAGGAGGTGCAAAAGCGCGTGTTGTTGACGAAGACCAGAGCAACAGTTAGAGCAAGCCATTCATTCATAAGTGTGCATTATTTTTCTAATAATTCAACGGCCCGGAATCAATTAATCCACTTGTACTATGGTTACCACACCTCAAAACATTCTTCAGATGTTGTATTGCAAGAGATTTGTCAGGTTCTTGTCCTTATGCTCTTGTGTGTAGGACTAATTTCTTACGCATCTAATCCCTAGCCTCCGTTGCTAATTCCAAAATGTAATTTTAGAGCTATTAACGGAGACTTGAGCCACTGATAGCAGCCTAATGCAGTTATTAGAGAGAGAGAGAGAGAGAGAGATCAAGCATGTGTGAATTACCTGAGACTGTGCGTCCCTCAACAGTGTTCAGCAGCAGCGTTTTTATTAATAGCAAAACTTTTAAGTTTATCTGCTCCAAGAACAGAGCCGTTATTACATTGCTAGTGACAAATGTCATGTAGCTTTTAAGTTGTTATTTAATAATTTAACTTTACATTAAAAACCTTGCAAATGTTGCTTCATTCACAATTTAATGTGAATATTCAGTGTATATCCCAACGCTAATTTATGCCCATTGATTACCACCCTTTTAATCCAAAATGTACTAGGACTGATAATAGATGTAAAAAGTATGAGTTTAGAATATTTATTGATATGGAATGTGCTGATTAGCCATTGATGCTTATTATGAAAGACTGATCTGGCCATGAAAAAAAAAATCAGTCAAACAGCAGTCATCTCACAAACACAGACATAATTAAGATTTGGATGACCTCTCTTCCACAACAGACTGATTTAGAATAGAGGGGTATATGTATTCGCCTAATGTACTGTATCCTGTTGATTTTCCATTCCTTTCCATGTGCAGCTCTTCATCTCCACTGCTAATTAATCTGTCTAAAGCGTGCTGATTTAGTCCTAATACGCAGACCGGCTCCGCTCAGGCGGGCAGTGATGTCCTAATGGAGCATCACGCTGCTTAAGTACCACAGGAGAAAAGGAAAAACAGCCACTGGCCTTTGTTTCCCTGTGATCTGTGAATTCCTCTTTTAGCACAGGCCTGTTTACTGTGCTGTTATTTTGGAGAGCAGTGCGCAGCATGAAACGCAAATAATGACTGCATGTAAAAACACACATCATCATCCCCCCTTGTACATTTCCTGAGTCCTGTCTCTGTGTCAGTGCCATGTACTTATGTAGTTAGAGTGTTTCTCAGGAAGTGTGTTGTAGTAATTAGAGCCCAGGGGCAATCACCTCTGAAGAAGCCAAATGAAGTGAAGAAAGTGCTTTACTGATGAGGCGCGCAAACTGCATATCATAAGAAAATTAGTCCTATAAATGAGGATTCGTTTGCGTTTGATGTGTGTGTCGGTTTGAAGTTAGTCTAATGTGGACTGTTCTTTCCTGGCTAAATCATCTTTTCTCTCTCTTTCTCTCTCAGATCGGGACTTTAGTATCCAGGTGAACACCGAGCGCCGGGCCTACACGGCTGGTGAGCCGCTGGAGCTCCGCTGCACCATTGACGCTCAGAATGTTCCAGAGCGCTTCTTCTCGGTGTCGTGGGTCTTCAGCAGCTCACCCGTAGCCGTGATCGGGCCCAGCGCCGTGCCCGTACTGGGACCCAACTATGTGGAGCGAGAAGCGTCCGGCCTCCTGACCGTGCGAAAAGAGAGCCCCTCCATCCACCTGCTCAAGTTGCAGCGGCTACTGCCGGAGGATTCTGGGAAATACATCTGCAGAGTGACGGAGCGGGAAAAGACCCCCACTGGAGATTTCATCGACCGCAGCAAGCGGTCCCGTAACGTTCAGATCACTGTAACCCCTCTGAGTGAGTATCACAGTTCTTTATCGGCCCTCTGTTTCTGACTGGCCCCTAGAGTAGTTGGCTGATACCTCTCAACAGCTCGCTTATTAAATGAAATTATGAACCTTTCGGCCTCACTTCTGATGTTCATCACCTTAAGTGGATTATTCTGATCTAGTTTAGCTTATAAGCTAGCAGTTTAAAAGAAGTAGAGAGTTCAGAAATTGATTTAGTAATATCGTGGAGGTAAACTGCCAATAAAGTTCTACTTATTCTTGCTGATGCTTTCTAAAGTATACACTCAGTATCACCCAATATTCTGTCTGCTGTTTTTTTAGTTCTTGTGCCAGGTGTTCTCTCATAGTGCACAGACTCCCAGGGAAGTACTAAGTAAATGGGAGGAAAAAATAACAGTGGAGTAAAAGTAGTTAAGCTGTTTTCAAAATAGCAAAACTTTTCCTGTAAGGAGTGTGTGTGTCTGAATGCTACATTGGTTTTTGTCACGTGTGTGTGTGTTTACTTGAACAACAAAATCCTGATAACTTTCAAAATTCAGCTCATTCTAAAAGCCTGACAAAACATGGAAAAACGTGTTGGCATAGGATTTTTAAGTTGAGTTTTACAACTTTTTACAGTAGGCCTACTTGAGCTTGTTAATGTACATCAAATAATCTGACAGAACGTTTTTATAGAGGTTTACACGGCTACTAATATTGGAGTAATGGGTAAAGATCTAGGTTACTTATTTTATATATATATATATATACACTCACCGGCCACTTTATTAGGTACACCTGTCCAACTGCTCGTTAACACTTAATTTCTAAGCAGCCAATCACATGGCGGCAACTCAGTGCATTTAGGCATGTAGACATGGTCAAGACAATCTCCTGCAGTTCAAACCGAGCATCAGTATGGGGAAGAAAGTTGATTTGAGTGACTTTGAACGTGGCATGATTGTTGGTGCCAGAAGGGCTGGTCTGAGTATTTCAGAAACTGCTAATCTACTGGGATTTTCACGCACAACCATCTCTAGGGTTTACAGAGAATGGTCCGAAAAAGAAAAAACATCCAGTGAGCGGCAGTTCTGTGGGCGGAAATGCCTTGTTGATGCCAGAGGTCAGAGGAGAATGGCCAGACTGGTTCGAGCTGATAGAAGGGCAACAGTGACTGAAATAACCACTCGTTACAACCGAGGTATGCAGCAAAGCATTTGTGAAGCCACAACACGCACAACCTTGAGGCGGATGGGCTACAACAGCAGAAGACTCCACCGGGTACCACTCATCTCCACTACAAATAGGAAAAAGAGGCTACAATTTGCAAGAGCTCACCAAAATTGAACAGTTGAAGACTGGAAAAATGTTGCCTGGTCTGATGAGTCTCGATTTCTGTTGAGACATTCAGATGTTAGAGTCAGAATTTGGCGTAAACAGAATGAGAACATGGAACCATCATGCCTTGTTACCACTGTGCAGGCTGGTGGTGGTGGTGTAATGGTGTGGGGGATGTTTTCCTGGCACACTTTAGGCCCCTTAGTGCCAATTGGGCATCGTTTAAATGCCACGGCCTACCTGAGCATTGTTTCTGACCATGTCCATCCCTTTATGGCCACCATGTACCCATCCTCTGATGGCTACTTCCACCATGTCACAAAGCTCTAATCATTTCAAATTGGTTTCTTGAACATGACAATGAGTTCACTGTACTAAAATGGCCTCCACAGTCACCAGATCTCAACCCAAAAGAGCATCTTTGGGATGTGGTGGAACGGGAGATTCGCATCATGGATGTGCAGCCGACAAATCTGCGGCAACTGTGTGATGCCATCATGTCAATATGGACCAAACTCCCTGAGGAATGCTTCCAGCACCTTGTTGAATCTATGCCACGAAGAATTGAGGCAGTTCTGAAGGCAAAAGGGGGTCCAACCCGTTACTAGCATGGGGTACCTAATAAAGTGGCCGGTGAGTGTATATATATATATATATATATATATATAATACACAGTGTTGGGGGAAACGCATTACAAATAACTTGAGTTACGTAATCAGATTACTTTTTCAAGTAACTAGTAAAGTAATGCATTACTTTTAAAATGTACAACAAAATATCTGTTACTTTTTCAAATAAGTAACGCAAGTTACTTTGTTTTTCCATTTATTAACTGACAGCTCTCCTTTCCCATTGTTAAGAAAAGCTGCAGAGGCTTTGTGTAAACATGATGTTTATTGTAGTTCTAGACTAAATGTGAGCGTGCATTTACTCATCTCACTTGCACAAAAAAGATTCAGTATTCCTCAAAATTAATAAAATCAGTCAAATGTAAAATCAATCAGTCTATGCAAACCTCCAATAATTAAATATGTTAAATGAAACAAATATTTTATGCATTTAATCTCAGTTTATTGACCAATGTGCTTGCTGCTGAAGCAAAAATTACTTTATATTTTTTGTTTTTATTGGTGGTGTTAAACTTTTTTCTCCTTCGTCCTATTCTTCAGTTATCCAGAATGGCAGCAGAGCTGAAAGGTTTGTTTGAACGGCGCCCTCTACTGTACAGGAGTGAATGTGCACTTCCTTCAGTCTTAAGGCTCGTACACACCGGGACGAATATCGGCGCGCGTTATTCGCCAGCATTTTTCAACGCGTTTTTTGTGTTCACACCCAAGCGATTTTCGCTGACGATGAGCCGAGTGGACATGCAAATTCATTCCCTGACATTAGATGGCGCCCATTTGCTCTGCAATACCACTCCATAACAGTTCTCTTTTATCAAGATTTTTGTAGTCGCTGTCGCGTTTGTCATATAGTTCTTTATGTTCCGACACCAACGAGACCAGCAGCTCTACATTCATCTTGCCTTGCATCTTCCTCGTCTTATTTCTTCCCGGCAGTGTAGACGCTACTTGGCGTACATCCTCGCCGTTACGTATGTGTGCTCGGCAAGACCGTTTTGTGTTTGAGCGCCCCCAAGTTGTGTTTTACCTGGTTTTACTGTAACTTCAGAAGCTCCAGACACGTGAGCAAAAGCGCCAATCTCATTGGTCGGATAGTTTTGGACGCGGCGCGTCAAACTAAAAAAACGAACCCGAGGCGTTTTAAAAAAAATGGCGCTTTTACGCCTGGCATTTTTCGCAACGGTGTGCACACTCACATTGCCGCCCTTTGTTTAGTCACGAGGCGTTAAACGTCGGCGAATATCGCGTGCGAAATTCGTCCCGGTGTGAACAGGCCTTTAGGCTGCTTATTTGACTTTTGGTGTGAAAGGGTCTTTACATTTGCCCAAAAATAGCACTTTTTTTTTTATAAAACACCCAGACCAGGTGAGAAAAAGTAACGCAAAAGTAATGTAACAAATAACTTATCTTAAAAAATAACTAAGTAACGCAATTAGTTACTTTTTAAGGGAGTAACGCAGTATTGTAATGCATTACTTTTCAAAGTAACTTTCTATATATACCAACAAAATATATATATATATATATACACTCACCGGCCACTTTATTAGGTACACCTGTCCAACTGCTCGTTAACACTTAATTTCTAAGCAGCCAATCACATGGCGGCAACTCAGTGCATTTAGGCATGTAGACATGGTCAAGACAATCTCCTGCAGTTCAAACCAAGCATCAGTATGGGGAAGAAAGTTGATTTGATCGACTTTGAACGTGGCATGATTGTTGGTGCCAGAAGGGCTGGTCTGAGTATTTCAGAAACTGCTAATCTACTGGGATTTTCACGCACAACCATCTCTAGGGTTTACAGAGAATGGTCCGAAAAAGAAAAAACATCCAGTGAGCGGCAGTTCTGTGGGCGGAAATGCCTTGTTGATGCCAGAGGTCAGAGGAGAATGGCCAGACTGGTTCGAGCTGATAGAAGGGCAACAGTGACTGAAATAACCACTCGTTACAACCGAGCTATGCAGCAAAGCATTTGTGAAGCCACAACACGCACAACCTTGAGGCGGATGGGCTACAACAGCAGAAGACTCCACCGGGTACCACTCATCTCCACTACAAATAGGAAAAAGAGGCTACAATTTGCAAGAGCTCACCAAAATTGAACAGTTGAAGACTGGAAAAATGTTGCCTGGTCTGATGAGTCTCGATTTCTGTTGAGACATTCAGATGTTAGAGTCAGAATTTGGCGTAAACAGAATGAGAACATGGAACCATCATGCCTTGTTACCACTGTGCAGGCTGGTGGTGGTGGTGTAATGGTGTGGGGGATGTTTTCCTGGCACACTTTAGGCCCCTTAGTGCCAATTGGGCATCGTTTAAATGCCACGGCCTACCTGAGCATTGTTTCTGACCATGTCCATCCCTTTATGGCCACCATGTACCCATCCTCTGATGGCTACTTCCACCATGTCACAAAGCTCTAATCATTTCAAATTGGTTTCTTGAACATGACAATGAGTTCACTGTACTAAAATGGCCTCCACAGTCACCAGATCTCAACCCAATAGAGCATCTTTGGGATGTGGTGGAACGGGAGATTCGCATCATGGATGTGCAGCCGACAAATCTGCGGCAACTGTGTGATGCCATCATGTCAATATGGACCAAACTCCCTGAGGAATGCTTCCAGCACCTTGTTGAATCTATGCCACGAAGAATTGAGGCAGTTCTGAAGGCAAAAGGGGGTCCAACCCGTTACTAGCATGGGGTACCTAATAAAGTGGCCGGTGAGTGTATATATATATATATATATATATATATATATATATATATATTCAAATATATATAAAATTCAGCTTTGCCATCACAGGGATAATAAAATGAAAAATGGCTACTTTAAATTAATAATACTTCACAATATTCCTGTTTTTATAAGAGACTAAGAGCATAAGAGACTTTTTGACCCCAAAAATATGAGCAGTAGTCTAAATGCTACTCAGATTGTCAAAAAACGGATCATCTGATGATCATGCTATTTATTTAATAAGACGATCCCCAATTAAATACATTCAAAATAGCTCTGTTTGAAAGGGTAGCTTTACTGTTGTTTATATTCTAAGCTGCACTTTCAGAGTAGCTGCCCTGACACTGGTGGTGTGTGAGTGGATAATACAGGACTGTGTAAAATTGTTTAATGCACAGCATTTTTTCACAACTCGTTTTGTGGAGTCCTGAAAGCCCTTGAAATAGCATTGCATTTCAAGCGAGAGCTACTCGAAAAGCCAAGTCTAACAAGCATGAAATGATGGTGGGAACTGGGAATACCATCGCCATCAGCACAGCCTTGATAGATCCCCAAGGTGGATGTGACTGTGCCCAGGCAAATAAACCACAACTGGGCTCAAGGAGTTGATGAGAGTTAGATGGGGGAGAGGAGGTTAATCAAAGGTTAGTAAGAATAGATCTGTTCTGCTTGGACCATGGTTACCCGAATCAACCCCTTTCAGCAATGGTCCTATCACACTCTATAGGTTGAGGGAAATCCTTCCTTCTCCCCAGGGGATCTGCTTTTAGAGGGTTTAAAAGGACCTACAAGTTTCTACAAGAACCTTAATAAAGGCTACATCAAGAAACCGTAATTGGTCCTCTCATATGATAGTGGCAATTTCCTTCTGAAAGTCCCCCTGTAGTCAATAATTGTATCCCTTAAAACTCATCTTTGATCACCAAAATTACATATTTAAAAGTTTTTCCTTGCCTTAAAATAGCTTGAATGTAACTACACCCTTGCCTCATTTAGTATATGCGGGTCTATAAATATGCAAATTAGCCCCGCCTCCACTCACTCACACCAGCTCAGAGGTCTACTCATTGACGATCACAAGTTCGCGTGATTGGTTACAAGGTAGTTTGAAAGAGAAAATACTCTTGGTGCAATGGTGCTGACTTATGAATTTGCACATGGTTTGTCTTAAAGCATATTAAAAACACCACATAGACATATAAACAACATTTAAAAGCTTAATTTACACCATAGGGGGACTTCAAATCAAAAGTTCACCAAAAAAAATGTAAATTATGTCATAATTTATTAACCTTGTATGTTAACATGTATGACTTGTTTTTTTCTGTGGAACATAAAAAAAAATGTCTTGGTGCTTTTTGTCTATACAATGAAAATCAATGGGGTCCAATGTTGTTGTTTAAGACCTCATGGACTTTCATCGTATGGACAAAAACCTTCTTTAAAATATCTTCTTTTATCTTTCACAGAAAACAAAATCATACAGGTTTGGAGCGACATAAAGGTAAATTGACACAATTGTCATTTTTGGATGAACAGGCCTGTTCACATCCAGGATGATGATTAACAAAGGTTTTAAAAAAGCAGTGTCCACACCACAACTATAACTATAACTGCACAGAGAAACGATATTGTTATAATCACTTTCAGAACAATTTTTTCCAGCTAATGAACAACAAAAACATGTACAAACTATCAAAATCACAAAATTTTACAAAAATCACTTGCACAGTGTGATCTATTTCCTGCAGTTGTGTACTTATAATATCCCAAAAGTCTCCAAAGGTTTTTTATTTCAGAGAAATTCCCATTTTAAATAAGTGGCCGTCCCGGAAAAAAATGTCGCCTGTCAATGACGCAATATTCGCGCTATCCTCGGTTTCCGTTCATACTGCCATAGCCATGACGTAACCATGGCGACAGACGTGGACAACTGCGTAGTGCGTAACGTTTAGCGGCACGCAGTTCTTGTTTCTTTCAAACATAGACCATGGCAAGCAGACTTTGGGACAAACAAGGAGAACAAAAATGAGGATCAATATCAGCGTGGCGTTTTTGAGATGCCAAGAGCTCCACGTCCGCGACTAACTTGGACTTGACAGAGCTTCACGAGTCAAGACTTGACAGCTTTATTAGACAGGTGAGCAAATGTACATAAAACAAATCAATGTTATATAACGTTAGTTCAACATGATGAAATGTTAGAATATGGTCAGTATGTTATTCTAATGTTGATCTAGCTTACTGCTAGTTTCGTATAGCAAACGAACTAACACGTAGTATAACATTATAACTTTCAACACACATTTAAATGCCGTTTAGTGTGATAGTGTAACGTTAGACCAAGTGAAGCAGCGCTGCGTTACCTCACAAGTTTAATTCGTCTAATAAACTGACCTGTGTGAGTAATCCAGCACTTGCGGGTAGTTCGGTAGAATTAAATGTCCTTATTCCTTTGTATCCGCGGGACTCGCGTGTGATATCTGTCTCTTTAGCAATCGCGACCTGCTTCATACCACTGTAATGTTAAAAAAATCAGCTTGACAGTAAGTCCCATCATTCAGCTCATCACTGCGTCATCAACCTACGCCTTTGTTATTGTTGGAAACTGCGCCCTCTTGTGGCGAAAAAATCTTACATATTGTGCCTTTAAAGAGCTGGAGCATTTAAAGTGGCAGATGACAACTGCATCACATGCTTTTAATAAACAATGTTATCATCTGTTGGTGTGAATGCTAATATAGTTATCACTATAATTATTGTCTTTGGTGTGCATTGGCCTGTACAAAAAGGGAAAAGACCCTTGGAAAGGTTGAAATTATTACAGCTTGCTTTTTTCTTTTTCTCTTTTCTTTTTTTTCATCTTTTTTGCTTTGCCCCTGCAGAAGACCATGTGCCATATTTGCAGGGTTATTAGAGCAGTAGATTGATAGCTACAGCATGGAATCGAGACAACACAGTGTTCAGCCCTTTCTTCACACACTCACTCACTCACTCACTCACTCACTCACTCACTCACTCACTCACTCACTCACTCACTCACTCACTCACTCACTCACTCACTCACTCACTCACTCACTCACTCCCTCTCTCTCTTCCTCTCTCTCTCTCTCTCTCTCTCTCTCTCACTCTCTCTCTCTCTCTCTCTCTCTCTCTCTCTCTCTCTCTCTCTCTCTTATGATCAAGGCCACACCAACTATCTAAGTAGGTCTTTCAGACAATATATGAGACTGAGAGACTAGGTTGGGTGACGGTACATACTGTACTCCAGCTGATCATTGTGTAAACTTCTATTTCATGTCCTCTGAGAAAAGGAGCACATTATCAATTGAAGAGGTTTCATCCCCAGATGTTTCGCTTTTGTTATGCATGAATTCAAAGCCTCTTGTGTTCCTTGCCCAATTGGTCATGGCGGTTTTCTTCTCAAGAAGTTCTGCTACAGCCTCTTTCTGAAGGGAGGCTCGGGTGACCCATGGGAAGGGTGCAAACTTTGTCTCTTTAAAGTTCTATTTTTTGTTTTATCACACACTGCTTTTATAGGGATGTGGTGGTGTGAAATCCCTGTCGAGAACTCTGGAGATGTCTACGAAGGCTTTGATCTACACTCATACTTACAAGATCTCTCAGGCTCTAGACCTCTTGATGAGAAAACTACCCTAAAAGTCCTGGTAGTCTGAGGCCTTGCCTGCTGTAGAGCACGACAGAAAGATACAGTATAAACCTTTCATACCTAACATGAGCTCAAAGGTTGTCAAATTATTTTATGTTCTGTAGAAGCCACTTTCAACTTCAATCAAAAATAATTATTTAAATTAAAGAGATGCACTAGCCATAGCCCAATAGACTTGCCCACTCCCATAAAGCATTGCAAATTTCTTCTTACTGTACTCTTAATCAACTTGGCATCACAGAAATAAATTACATTTCAAAATATAAATAGAAAACAGTTTACAGTACTTTTTTTCTGACTTTTAAATGTTTTATTGCTTTGAATTCATGTGTGATTCATCTGGGTGGCTAGTTCATGTCTTACAACTCTTTAATGAAGAATGCGAAGAAAATGAATGGGAAAAAAAATACACTGTCCAGTAGAACCCAAAGGAACCTGATGGAGAACTGGAACTGTGTGTTTTTGCTTCAGGTATTATCAGCATCCATCTGCAGTGGTTTTTCCAACTGACTCACAGCTATAGAGACCGTATAAAATGAGAAAACGTAGGTAAATTAATGAGAGAAAGTGAAGTGCTGACCTTTCCATTAAAATGAACCTGTTGCCTCATTAGTAAAGGAATCACCTCATCATATTGCTCTAGAATGTGCATTAGCTTGACTAGGCTTAAATTGGGCTAAAGAAACTAAGTGGACGATACAAATGTATTGCTAATTTGATGTGTTAATTAAATGTATTGGTAACCTGCTTTCTTCATTCAAGTAGATACGGGTTGCTCGCCTAATGCATACACAGAAAATGGTGTTCTTGTGTACTTTCCCTGTGGTGAAAATCAAGTTTTTAATTTTGCTTATGTGTGCTCTATGTGGTGTTTTAATATACTTTAAGACAAACCATGTGTAAATACATCAGTCAACGACATTGCCAAGTATTTTCTCCTTAAAACTGCAGTGTGCCAAAGAGAGTCTCAAAAAACGCGGTTTCCTACCGTCACAAACATGCAACAAATCCCGTCAACGTGCGAGAAAGGGTTTTTCCTATCATTCCTATCATGCTCTGTGGGAATTTTAACACGGTGAGCACAAGAAACCTTTAAAAAGGGACAGGAAAATATGGGTACATATAGCAATATAGTGGGTGAATAATGTATATGATGTTATGATGAAGTCTTTCTCCACTGACTTTCTATGATGTTTGTAGCATTTCTAAGGATGCTGATTTTTAGAAGGCAATTGTTGGTGAACGGGAACATGGATTGTGTAACATTAGCAATATAAGCTGTTTGATAACATAGTCAAGCCAAAGGGTAATAAAATGAATTACCGTTACCCAACGTTCTAGAGAGCAATACATAAAATGTGTTTAAATATGTCATTTTGATTTGAAAAGATGAAGATGATTGAGTGCAGTGCAGGAGGACTTTAAAAGTACTTTAAATTTTCACCCAATGATAATTTGTGGAGTTTCTTGTTCAGCTTGTCATGAGTAATTTACTCATACATAATGTAAATTTACTCTACTATTATCATGATAAACTTGCACTAGTGTCATGTTTCCAAAGAACAATGTCTAATTTCCACTCTTGTTTGTCTGTCTCTCATAGGAAGTAACATCACTGTGTCGTTATCCAGTAACTCTTCAGAGATTATGGAGGGGGAGACCATTCAGCTGACCTGCGTTGTTAGCAACACTCTGGGTCCCCTGTCAGTGATATGGCAGTGGACGGATAAGGAGGACGTGGGTCCTGCCGTGAACGTGGCTAATGTGGATCGTGAGGGCACAGTCACTCCTGGGCCCACGTTTAGGGAGCGCAGCAGCTATGGAGAGGTTCGGGTGGAGCGGGTTCGGCCCGACACATTCACCCTGTTGCTGTATAATGCCTTCCCCACAGATGAGGGCCAGTACAGATGCAGCGCCACCGAGTGGTCCCAGAGTGGAACTGCACCTGACTGGATTTGGCAGCAGATTGGAGACGAATCCGCCATCAAGACCACTACAGTAAAATCAGTTGGTAAGACCACATACACAGTTTGAGGGGAAAGAAAAAAGAGAATATATATGTATATGTGTGTGTGTGTGTCTTGGGGTCTGTAAGATATTTTTCAGCAAGGGTTCATTTAATTCAATCAAAAGACTTTGAAGACATTTAGGGCCGGATATATACTAAACAGGACAAATTAGCGTAAAGAACACAGACGCAGCTGGATCATTTCTAGACATGCTTAGAAATGCTTATTATTTAATGCTTAGAAATGCATTAAGACATGCTTTTTTGGTCGGTAAATAATGGCGCAAATACCAGTAAATTGATGAGCGCAAACCTTAGTAAATCACCTTGCTTGAATCATTTAAATATTCTCCTCCCATAAATTGTGCGTCTGAAAGGGAAACTCCTAAAAATACATATGCAATAATGCCAGCCGCAAAACTAACCCTGTCCACATCTTTTCAGCGCTTATTTTTCACTGCGTGTCTTTAGTAAATCCTGACAGTTATTTTTTAAGGCCAAAAGAGGGTTTGCGCTGATGCAAGCTATTAGTAAATCTGGCCCATATAATGTTGCAAAATATTTCTATTTTAAATAAGTGCTGAACCTTTCTTTCATCAAAGAAACCTGAAAAATATATCAATCACAGTTTCTACAATACACACCAGGCAGGGGACAAATCTTTCATATTAAGTAAATTTCTGACACCGTATTTGCATATATATTTGTACTCATGCAGTGTATTTTTACTGTCAGCAACACGTCATATTTATGACATCATAAATATTCTGTTGTTTTCTGCTTTATACACACAAGCATATGCAAACTCACACTTGAGCTCACACAGTGACAGGAAAATGTACTCACTCAAGTGGAGTAGAGTGAATGTTGAAGTGGCATGTGCGCTGTAAAGCTGGATCCTCTATGAAGTCAATCGCTCAGTCATGATCATGCTTACATAGCATCATGTTCATGTAGCGCAGTGGGACAAGCTGTCTGTCAGCTTTCCATCAAAATCAATAGCCGTGACTTCCCAGTCTGCACTTTAACTGTGTGTGTAATGAGAACACATTCATACGCACATGCTTGCACATGGCTGAAAAGAAAAACATGACTGAATAGCAAGCTGGCAGATGCTCTAAATAAACACATTGTGTAACAGCGTGTGTTGCGTGACAATGAGTGGTTTTTAGAAAAGATACTCCATCAGTTCTTGATAACATACAATATGTCTTCTGCTTTGAAGGTGAAGTGTGTAACTTTTTTATACTTCAAATACTTTCTTCTATTCCAACCTAGTTTGCAGAAACATCTGTAAGTCAGTCATTTATAGACTGTCTTTCTCTAAAAAGCAGTAAAACGTAGCTCTTTTTTTAGCATAGCAATTTCTAATGGTGTGTCTTTGTTTTTTATATATATGCACTGTGTATATAATTATTTCTATATATATACACTCACCTGAAGGATTATTAGTAACACCTGTTCAATTTCTCATTAATGCAATTATCTAATCAACCAATCACATGGCAGTTGCTTCAATGCATTTAGGAGTGTGGTCCTGGTCAAGACAATCTCCTGAACTCCAAACTGAATGTCAGAATGGGAAAGAAAGGTCATTTAAGCAATTTTGAGTGCGGCATTGTTGTTGGTGCCAGACGGGCCGGTCTGAGTATTTCACAATCTGCTCAGTTACTGGGATTTTCACGCACAACCATTTCTAGGGTTTACAAAGAATGGTGTGAAAAGGGAAAAACATCCAGTATGTGGCAGTCCTGTGGGCGAAAATGCCTTGTTGATGCTAGAGGTCAGAGGAGAATGGGCCGACTGATTCAAGCTGATAGAAGAGCAACTTTGACTGAAATAACCACTCGTTACAACCGAGGTATGCAGCATTTGTGAAGCCACAACATGCTCAACCTTGAGGTGGATGGGCTACAACAGCAGAAGACCCCACCGGGTACCACTCATCTCCACTACAAATAGGAAAAAGAGGCTACAATTTGCAGGAGCTCACCAAAATTGGACAGTTGAAGACTGGAAAAATGTTGCCTGGTCTGATGAGTCTCGATTTCTGTTGAGACATTCAGATGGTAGAGTCAGAATTTGGCGTTAACAGAATGAGAACATGGATCCATCATGCCTTGTTACCACTGTGCAGGCTGGTGGTGGTGGTGTAATGGTGTGGGGGATGTTTTCTTGGCACACTTTAGGCCCCTTAGTGCCAATCGGGCATCGTTTAAATGCCACGGCCTACCTGAGCATTGTTTCTGACCATGTCCATCCCTTTATGGCCACCATGTACCCATCCTCTGATGGCTACTTCCAGCAGGATAATACACCATGTCACAAAGCTCGAATCATTTCAAATTGGTTTCTTGAACATGATAATGAGTTCACTGTACTAAAATGGCCTCCACAGTCACCAGATCTCAACCCAATAGAGCATCTTTGGGATGTGGTGGAACGGGAGCTTCGTGCCCTGGATGTGCATCCCACAAATCTCCATCAACTGCAAGATGGTATCCTATCAATATGGGCCAACATTTCTAAAGAATGCTTTCAGCACCTTGTTGAATCAATGCCACGTAGAATTAAGGCAGTTCTGAAGGCGAAAGGGGGTCAAACACAGTATTAGTATGGTGTTCCTAATAATCCTTTAGGTGAGTGTATAATTACTTTTAAGTCATCCTCCATCCTGCCCTGGATGTATGCTGAGACTATTTCTATAGACTACTACAGAGTCTAAACCACTGCGAATAATTTCAGATAATTATTATTTTTGCATTGCCATTTAGTGTCATAAAGATAATACACATCTCTGACTTTTTCACAAACTTTGTTAAAGAGAATGTTTGGATAATTTCAGTTTTAAAATGTTTTTATTAATTAAGTTAAGAAAAGTTTATTAAAGGACATTTAATAAAATATTAAGTCATGGAAATTTCTATATTAAATAAATGTATCATTTATAATTTGATCTTTGTAAGTCAAAGCAAGTTTCCGACCCAAAGTAAAAACAATAAAAAGGCAATTGTGACTATCATTTTGTAACTTTTAATTTTTTTTCTTTGAGATAAAAAAAAACGTGTTTTTTTTTTTGGGATGTGGTTCCATGTATGTGGTAATCACAAAGGATTGGGAAAGTCATTTGTCGAAGCTTTAAGGTTGAGAATATTATCCTAGCCTGGGTCCGCCCTCCTACGTACTTCCGCTCAATTTTCATTTTCCTTCAGTTCTACAGAGGACAATCTATCTCTGTACAAATGAAATGTACGAGAGTCTGGTGGGACCAGGCTAATATTATCCAGCATCTAGTCTTAATGTTTCCTGCGTATCGAAGCTTTGATGAGATGACAAAGACACAGCTTTTTATTCCTCTTAATTATTTATATCTATGCTCCTCCTCTGCGATTGACATTGATCATTTTTACTTCCTCTGCTGTCTGGATCAGCTTTGTTGAAGTGTTTCATCAGCTCTGCTTTTGATTTGAAGCTCAAAGAGTAGCAGCGTGATGTTCTTCATGTCAGCTGCTTTGCCTTTACAGAGTAAAGTACAGACTTCTCCAGGTGTGATGCAGCAGGAGTCACTTTGTTCGAGTATGATGTGCACGTGATCTAGTGCACATCTAGTTCGAGTATGATGTCCATGTGGCTTAGACAGTGTTTGTGTCCTTTGCTCTTGCCCTTTGACAGGTGTGTTGGTGGTGATGAGTAAAAATAGCAGTGGTGTGTTTTTCAGTATTGACTCTGGGTGACTGTATGGATGGAGGATCAGGACGGGATGTGAAGCAGGTTATTCTGTTTATGGAGTGTCTTAACATGCTCATTAGTGTCTGGCAGTTGTATGGGTGCTGACTGGCTGCAGGCCACCATGTAGTGGTGGAATCGTTTGGCTGGGTTACACATGACACCCAGAGGTGAGCCCAGACAAACATTCTGCCACAATTTACTTTTTTATTTTTATTGCTATGAAAGCAGTTAGAGCTCCCAGCATGCTAATTGGATGACGGATAAATATACATTTTTAGGTTTAATGGTACATCTGTCCTTGAGCACACAATTTTAGATGATTAGGTGAGATATTTGTGAGAAACTTTTTCTTTAGTTTACAAACTTTTGGTGATTTAAATAACAAACATACAAACTCTGCCCGCTTTAATTCCCTGAATGTATAGCTGTGTTTGAGAGTGTGGTCTCACTACAATCTTCATTCCATTGACTTCTATTCGTACACATGCAAATGTAAGAGACAGGTGAACCAAAGGTGAACTCTGACCTGCGAATTCATGTCACGTGAATACATGTGAACAATAGAAGAATAACGTTATGGCGTGACCTCTCAGCTGAATTAAAAGAATGCAAACTTTAAAGGGTTAGTTCACTTAAAAAAAAAAACTTTTGCTGATAATTTACTCACCCCCATGTCATCCAAGATATCCATGTCTTTCTTTCTTCAGTCGAAAAGAAATTAAGGTTTTTGATGAAAACATTCTAGGATTTTTCTCCATATAATGGACTTCAATGGGCCCCAAAAAAGTTTATAAGTATAAAAAAGTTTAAGTTTTATAAGCACAAATGCTCGCCTTGCTCTGTTCTGTGAGAATTGCGTATTACGTGATGTCACGAACGCACATCACAGAACAGAGCGATGCGAGCATTTGTGCTTATAAAACTTTAACTTTTTTATTAACTTTTGAAATGACCGATCGTTTCGCTAGATAAGACCCTTATTCATCATCTGGTATCGTTTAAAGCTCTTTGAAGCTGCACTGAAACTGTCATTTGGACCTTGAACCGTTTGGGGCCCATTGAAGTCCATTATATGGAGAAAAATCCTGAAATGTTTTCATCAAAAACCTTAATTTCTTTTCGACTGAAGAAAGAAAGACATGGACATCTTGGATGACATGGGGGTGGTCAGTAAATTATCAGCAAAAGTTTTTTTAAAAGTGAAATAATCTTTTAAATCTGCAGGAATGCAGCATTGCAGTAAAGTGGAGTAAGTTGGATATTTTTTAGTCTCA